GAACACTTCACATGAAGAATGCCTATGTTCTCACTTTAAAATTCAGTTTATCAAATTGAACAAACACACCAGCTGAACATCTACTATGTGCTAGAATCAAATGGATAAATTTTAAATGGAAAGAAAACTTCTTAGAAAAATATTTTCATTTATAAAACTGTTAAGGTAAAAATACTTTTATTAAATCTAGTACAATGGTCCAAGTATTTAATTTTAAAAACTCACAAAATTGTCTGTCATTCAAATGTCAATCATGTATCATTCTAGTTTTTTAAAATTTTCATCTTGTTTTAATACTTTCACTTGAATGTATATAACATCACATTCAGTAATTCAGAGAATATTGTGGCCAGAAAAACTAAAATATTTTAGAAAGTTTACATTTAAAGATCAAAACTCAGGTTTTGCTCAATAGCCGAATACACTTGGCCTTCAATAGTTTCTTACTAATGGTATCTATATTCTCTTTGGTTATGTAGGATGACAGGAAAAAAATGACATCTAGTAAAGTTACAACATTACTTTACAGTATGAAATATGCATTTGAACATAATTCATAATTTATAATGAAAAATCAACTTGCATTGTATTATGGCTTTCAAAATCAGGAGAACTGGCTTTAATTTTTTTTCCCATTATTTTTATAGGGTAATGGACAAAAGTGCATCAGAATTAAAAACACACCGAGTAATGGGTACAAACCACATTTGGATCACCACAGAACCCTTGAAAAATGACAAATCTAAAACTCTAAGGTTATTCACAAAGTACCCAACAGGTGGAATTCATTAATGACCTAATGATAGCCAAACAAAATCCATCCACAGCAGTGATTTTAAAAGCAGAAGTCCCAGTTAACAGCACTACTTGAGGGCACTTTTACCAAATACATAGCAAGGTCAGTGATGATGATGTGACATGCCACTCAGTTGTATTTACAGGGCAGGAGAACAGGAAGAGATCAGAGAAAATTTATCTGTCAGCCGCTCCTGGCTCCCCTTCTAATATTGTGACAGTAATCGGTATGAAAATAGCAAGCTCCCTCAATACTTTTTTCTGCTCCTGATATGGCTCTGTTTCAGATTGAAGCAGCACTCCTGTTTAAGAAAGCTAAGTCACTTATTCAAAGACCAATTTAAATTTGTTTCAATAAATGATAGTTTACCTTATATCTAAGTGTTTTAAAAACCTTCCAAAAAGTATATTAATTATTCTATTCTACAGGTCCAGTGTTTCATCATTAACAATTCTTATTCTTTATGCTCTGTGTTGAAAGTTAAGGTTAAATTATCGAAATCAATTTTTATTTAAAAGTTATTTCCCTTAGCTGTTTTATACAAATGAAGTGTTTCATTTTATTTTACTCAATTCCATTAGCTTTCTTTCAGCTTGGAGATCCATAATTTTAGATCTGTACCAATAATATACCCAGGTGATGCTGATAGTATAAAGATCCTACTTTGAGAACTGCTGATCTAGTTTCTGTTTGAATACTTTCAATAACTTTATGATGGAGCTAATTTTCATTTAGAAGTTCTCATACAGAACACTAAATTTGGAACCAGAAACTTCCTTTTTTACAATTAATTTTTCCATCTAGAATAAGTTCAGAACCCCTCTATTCCTTCTTACACATGGCAGCTACTCAAATATTTGAAGAACATTCCCTCTCTTTAAACTTGTCTTCTCCAAAATTGCAGGGTCTTTGACTGCATCCCACTCTCCACAGCTCTCAGGCCCTCCATCATTCTGGTTGCCTCCCTATGAACATTATAGTTCATATGCCCCTCTTAATATGTGGTCCTTAAAACTTAACACAGTAATATGTTTCAGTCTGAGTATCAGAGTGCATGTGGTTTATTACATCCCCTAATCAGTAATAGTTTTATAACCACATTAGTGTGTATCACAGCACTTCTGAACTGCTCGTCTATGGACTGATACTACTCCTTGACAAAGTTTCAGTAATACAGAGTAAATGTCAAAAGAACAGTGTAGTAATTTTTCCCATCAACTTAATCAAGTTTATAACTCTCTTATTACGAGTTTCTGTCCTTCCTAAATATTGGTGGGGGAGAAGGGGAGAAGAGAAAGAGCAGGCAAATCTTAAATAAAGTAATGGTAATGGAAGATGGTAGTAATTTTTCCCAAGTCTTTATGAGGCAACATAAAGTTTCACATTTCACAGTCTCTCTTGAATTGCTGGTCTACTGTCCTAGAATACTCAGGTTAAAAAATTCACCTGATCCACCCTCTGCTACCATCTAGGTACTGAAGTGCTTAGAATAATTTATATAATTTGCAACAATCAGAAACTCCACTTATCACTTTTGATTAATTTATGTCAGCAAAGCAAACCTCCCAATGGTCTCCAGCAGATAAAAGGGTGTTTTAACACTAGTCCCTAAGAGTTCCTAGTTTCTTTTATCCACTCCCCACTTACCTTTATAATCCTAAATTACACTCAAACCGAGCCAACTAGACTACACCAAATTAAGAAAGGGTTAGGATGGTAGAACCTTACAACCATTTGTTGAAATTTGTATTAATAGCCAANCTTCCTGAGAAAGAGGCCTATTTGTCCTGGATTCGGCCTGGGAGGCAGGCTTCAGGTTTAGCCCACAGCTAGAGGGAAATAGAACTGCTGCTCTCAGGGACACCATCCTTGCACTCTCCCCCTTCCTCACTAGCGCTCACCAGGATATCCCCGAAAGGAGCTTATTTACTCATCTGAGGCCCCAGTTTCTGCCACTGTCGTCTGGGGACACCGCCAGATCACCTGGCTCTGGTGGCCAGCAGGGCTTGCGCTTGCAGTCCCACAGGACTGCAGTTTAAAAGCTGCTGCCTCAGGATCTGGCTTCCAGTCAGCCTGAATGTAGGTACTGAGGTCCCCCTTTGGGACACTGACAAGTCTTGACACACCCTCAATTACAGGAAGCCACTATGAATAAAATAGGCTGCTTGGACAATCACCAAGGTTTGAGAGACAACCAAGAGCTAGAGAAGGGTTGAATGATTAAGGTTCATCTCAATAAGGCCACTTACTTCCTCAAGACTGAGACAGGTGGCTGTTTTCATCTAATGCACAGAAACCAACACAGAAATGAAACTGGACCACTAACTTATACCAGATATAAAAAGTTAACTCAAAATGGATTAAATATTTGAATGTAAAACCCAAAACTATACAACTCTGGGAAGAAATCAGGTGGTAAGGAAATCAAGACTCACCACAATGTCAGTCTTGGCAGTAATTTTTTGGATCTGTCTCCAAAAGCAAAAAGAAACAAGTGGGACTACATGAAACCAAAAAGCTTCTGCACAGTAATGGAAATCAACAACAAAATGAAAAAGCAACCTAAGTGGGACAAAGTATTTGAAAATCATATACTTGATAGTGGGTCAATATCCAAAACATATAAAGAACTCATAACTTAAAAGCAAAATTTTAAAAACTGACTAAAAATGGACAGATCTAAATAAACATCTTCCCAAAGATTAGACAGATGGCCAACAAATACATGAAAAGATGCTCAATATTACTAGTCATAGGGAAATTAAAACCTCAATGAGGTATCACCTCACACCTGTCAGAATAGCTAATATCAAAAAGACAAGAAATAACAAGTGCTGGTGAGGATATACAGAAAAGGGAACCCATGTGCACTGTTGTTGGCAAATTTGATGCAGCCACTATGGAAAACAGCATGCCTCCAGAAATTTAAAATAGCACCACCATATGATCCAGTGACAGTTGCATTTCTGAGTATTTGCCCAAAGAGGGCAAAACACGTACTTGAAAAAATATATGCACCCATGCTCATTGTAGCACTATGAAAACCTGTATCCATCAATGGATGGATAAATTATGTAAATATGTTTGACACACACAATGGAAGTTTACATATTGTCATAAAGAAATAAAATCTTGCTGTGTGGACACAGATGGAACTTGAGGGCTTTGTATTAAGTGAAATAAGGCAGAGAAAGACAAATACACGATTTCAGTTATATGTGGAATCTCAAAACAAAAAACATACAAAAACTCATAGATGCAGAGAAGAGACTGGTGGTTGCCAGGGATGGCAGGTGGGCAAAATTTGTGAAGGTTCAAACTTCCAGTTATAAATAAGTCACATGGATATAATGTACAGCAGTGACTATAATATTGTACTGCATGCTTCAAAGTTGCTATGTAAATTTAAAAATTCCTCATCACTGGAATATTACTCAGCCATTTAAAAAAAAAAAGAAATCCTGCTATTTGTAACAACATGGATGGAGCTAGAGGGTATTATGCTCAGCGAAATAAGCCAGTTGGAGAAATACCATATAGTTTCACTTATTTGTGGAATATAAAAACAAAGCAAAACAGAAGTAGACTCATAGACACTCAGAAGTGACTAGTGGTTACCATGGGGGAGGAGTTGGGTGAGTGGGTAAGGGGGATAAAAGGACACAAAAATTCTCAATCATAATGTAAGTTGGTCACAGGGATGGTAGTACAGCATGCAGAATATAGCCAGTGATTCTGTAACATGTATGTTGTCAGATGGCAACCGCCCTAGTGGGGGGTGAAGATTTAATATGAGAAACTGTTGAACCACTGCGTTATATATCTGAAACCAATATAAGATTGTGTATCAATACTCCAATTTAAAAAACCCTCATCACAAGAAAAAAAAACATACATGTGACTTTATGGTAACAGATGTTAACTAGGCTTACTGTGGTGATCTTTTCACAAAATGTGTAAGTAACAAATCACTGTTGTATATCTTAAACTAATACAATGTTATATGTCAAATACACCTCAATTAAAAAAAGATGACATGAATGATACTCTTTCTTACATAAATGGAAAAAGACATTGATTTAAAAATACCAATAAAATTAAAAAAGCTGTATCTCTTCTCATATCATGTGATAAAAGAAACTCAGATTTAAGTGTTGTTTCAGATTTGCAGGATTGGCCCTACTGTGGACACAAAGGAACCCCATTCAAGAAGAAACTACAATCCATTTTTATTAATGAATTTTTTGGAGGTAAAGAAAACATATTTACATACATGCTTACAAACATTTGCATAAGTTTTTTTCATTTGGCAAAAGAGAAAAACATTATTTACCGTAAGAATGAAACCCAGTCCCTTTATAAATGGTCATATCCTCCCTTCACCCTTTTTCTTAAATTCAATACACTTCAAAGCCTACTTACACTGACAGAGGATGAAGAACTAAAGTAGTATAACTAATGTTAGGACGACTCTGTTAGGAGATAATGCTATTAGTTCTGAGAACTAATAAAGATTATAAAATACAGACATTGCTTATGTGCAGGGTCCTATTCTCCCTGATGTGTTTCAGTGAAGGAGGAAAGTGAAACAGAAAAGGAGAGCGTGAGAGGGAGAAAGGCTAAGGAGGTTGGTTTGGGCACAAGGAGTGTGGAAGGGTTGTTTTGGGAGGAGGAAGAGGGTGAGCATAAAGATCATAGAAAACCACTACAGGGGTAGAATGTGCCCAACACCGTATCTGCTCACAAACATGGGGCTGCTGTTGCATAAATCTCCTGTGCTCATCTCCACTAAAAAAAAACCATGAGTAAGAATACCAAAGAATGAATAGATTACCTACTACCAGAACATTCAGGGTTACTTTAAAGAAGTTTCTCCCAGGTTAAAAGCAGTCTCTTCAGGACCATAAATGCAGGAGGATGGACACAAATCAGTGTGTTTTCTCTTCGTATCAGTCTTTTATCTTAGAGGAAATGTCTTTTTAAATGTTAAGAGATAATAAGCATTATAGAATTAAACTAGCAATACTAGTATTGAATTACCATTGTCAATTAACTAAAGGGGAAGAGAAAAATAAATCTTGGCATTGACTGCTTTAGTTCCCAAATACAGACAAGATAATTAAAACATACAGTATCCTTTTCTTGGGAATAGACAATTTGTCTTCAATAGGGTTTACAGCTTTGAAAAGAATTTTGACTATTCACATTAATTTGCCTTATAGTTTCTTATAAACCTCATTCTCATTTGAAAGAACATTATTCTTCATTTAACATGACAAAATCCCCATACAAATCTCAGTATCTCTGTTTTGCTACAAAATCCATCTGTTACTTTCCTGAGCTGATCTGAAAATGAGTACAAAACTTGATAAAGATTTATTCTTTAAGAATATTAAGTGCTGTAAGCTCTGTTTTGAGAGCGGGAAGTAAAATATATCTCCTTATCACAGTATTGCTTATCTGGGGCAGAACAATTAAATTTCAGTGAAAGTAACTCCTTTCAATTGTCCAGTTTTTCTAAAATTGTAGAGAAGATGCCAGCAATGTAGATTTTTTAAAAAGAGTTGGGAAAAATAATAGGGAAAAAAAGCTAAAGATCTAACCAGAAAGCTTTTGTTACCATAGAGTATTGAAATTACTATAAAATTTCTGCTAAAGAATATTTTTCTAATATTCTAATATTTTTCTAATATTTCATTTTATAGAAGTAACTTCAGTCATGAGTTGGTCACAGAAAACTGAGGCTATTACGGACAGCCATCTCTTCAGTTAAAGAGGTAAAATTTAAAGGAAAAACAAAGGAACATGTAAGTGGTTATGAAACACTGAGCCAAAGTTCCTTTCAAGTAGTTAAGTAGTAACGATTTAAATACTGTATATTTACACACATTTCTATTACCTAAAAAATTACTTAAATCACCATTTTAAAAGCAAGCTTAAATGAATGTGGAAATATAAAAGAAAACTTAATGTAAAACCTCAACCATTACTCTTAAAATGTAAATTAGTCAAGCAACTTTGAATCTAATATTAACTCTACCATAAATATCTGAAACTGATATCCTCTAGATATTTGACCATGAACTCCATGCACACAGCAGACCTAAATTTTAGCCTGTTTTAGTACTTTCAACTGGTTTTACTTTCCCCATTCAATAATGTAAACATTTAGTTAAAATAACTTGAGATCATGAACGTGAAAACTTTAACAAACAGCAAAAAATGCAAATCAGTTACTGCAAAGTGCAATATTTTCCTAATCCAAAACAACTGAGTCCTAGAAAGTACAAAATTAGGTGTGGCAATTATGGAGATCTGCTTCTTAAATAGAAAAATTTTAAATATTTGTTAAAACATGCATCATTGTTTTTCTCTGACAACTATACCAAGTAGAATTTTCAAGAATACACTAACTCTGCAAGATTCATCAGATTAACAAACATCCAAAAACAGCATTGTCAAATACAAGCATTTAACATAAATAGGAGGAAGCACTTTTAAATGATAAAAAGAACAGGCTGTGTTTCAATACTTAGTACAGAGTTAAAAGTGGCAATATTGGAAAATATGTAAACTTTTGAAGAGAGAATTTTTCAAGCTTTTTTAAATCAAGTTATCATGAGATTGCTCACATTCAACACAAAAAGTCATCTTTCAGTGAAGATATTCCCCAAAATCATTTTATCTAACATTCTTTATAGAAAGCATTTAGTGTTTAGCAAATATAGTCAGCTTTCTTGATATACTTTAAAAATTCTCTGGTTCTTCACCAGATTTTTCAATCTATCATATTGAGATATTTGAAATGCCAAAGACCCTGATTTAATTTAGTAAGTTAGGAAGATGTTTAAATTGTCTGAAAAGTAACAAGATTTATTTTTTGAAATAAGAGAACTTATTTCAAACAAATATTTAACTTTAACAAACTATAAGTTTATTCTAATATGTCACTGTGGAGATTCTGGGGAGAGTTTCCCCTGTAGAGCAGTTTGATGTGTCCCTGGAAAGAGGCATACTTACTCCTTTATAACTACTATATTTTTCGCCTAAACCATATTATCCAATCTAATAACCCAGCTGACCTTTCACAATTTCTAACAGACAAATACAACCCCAAAAGTCATGAAATGTCCTGACATATATTCAAAAGAACTTGGCAAAAACTGAAGATACCATAAGGTAACTACACTAAGGAAAAATACTCTGTATATACTCTCACATTTTTGCTTTAAAAAATGCAGAGATGTTTAAAGATGTTCCTTTAAAATCAGGATAATTAATTAAAATATATTCTTTGAATGTTTTGTATTCCCTGTGGGAAAATATTTGTGCATGCTAATCTTAGGATGGCCCTATTAATGGAACTATAAACTTGCTTAAATTCATCTAGGTTGCATCTCATAAACCAAATCAACAGAGCATACTTTTCAGACATATAAATCACAATTTTACATGGGAAAAGAAGACCAGTAACTAACATATACTTAAAATGAATACAAATTTCCATCATTTTTTGAAAACATAAAAATCAGTATTTTTAATTTAAAAAAATTATATCAAAGAACTATAAAAGATACATTTATAATATACTAAGTTTAGCATAGAGCTTTTTCCATTTATAAATTCCATATTCATTAATCCTTAAGAAGCTCACAAAAAAGTTTTGATTTAACAAGAATCACAGAATAATCTTTGGGGAAATTTTACAGGAATTATTTTTATCCTTACAATAAATGTTAAGCAAGACTAATCCTGGTCCCTGATTGTGAATAAGATGATCCTGGTAAGAAATCAAAAAGTTGGGTCCAAGTAAAAAATAATCTGTAACTTTGGTTGAACCAAATTCTAATTCAGTTTCTACCAAGACAGATAACCCACTGTGTTCTTCTTAAGTCATTCGGATAATCAGCCTTTTTTTTTTTAAGAAAAGAATAAACAGATCTGGTACAAAGATTTCCACACAAGATAATTACCTTGAATTTCTACCTAACATTTTTACCTTGAATCTTTCCTATATCATAAAATGAAACAAAGGAAGTTAAATTGAACATGGATGTGAAAATGGAATATTAAAATAATTGTTTTAGATGTTATTAAAGATAATTACTTTAGAAAAATCTTCCTAACATATATCTAACAAGAACACTAATAGAGTTATTTCCCAAATCAAATGTGTTTTAGAAACAGACTCTGAGACAAGGATTCAAAGACAAGTCGCTCATTTTGGAGGGAATCCCAGGAAACATTGGTAAATGAATGGTGAGTGAGACAGAAAAGAGGAAGAAAATAAAAAATACATATTTAACAGTTTCCTGCTGTGGGCAGTGAAGTTCAGTCCCATTTAAACTCTAGCAGACAATGAGAAATATGCCTGCACATAACCAGAAGGGTAAGGAGGCTAGAATAATTATCTAGCTCCCATCCTTCACTGGCTGAGGGCTGCTCCTGGGCCATTATCCTCCCAGCCCTTCCAATCTGCCCTGTGTGCAGGCGAGAAAATCCAAAGCAGAGTTGCAGGAGCTTGCATGACACTTTATGCCAGGCCTGGAATGGTGAGAATCAAGTGTCGCTGCAAAGCCTCACCATCAGAAAGACTCAAGTAACAAGTATCTTAAATTTCACTTTAGTCACTGTCACATTACAAAGGAGAATGCATTTTACTGATGCAAGCAGTAGAGTATAAGTTTTGAAGTCTTAAACTTTCCAGCAAACAAATCTACAGATTAGGAGTATTTTAATCCACCAAAAGAGTTCTTAAAATAATATTATCAACTATATTTCAATAAAAAAATTTTGCCTACATTAACCAAAATAGTTATTTACATGAATGATTCCCATTTTTATTGAAGTTGCAAACCCCATTACTATGTGAATTCAGAATGCTATGTCAGACAGCCAGAACCAAAAACAAAACACAGAATAATGATATAGTGTTTGTAACACACAGGACTAAAAATTAGAAGAGCTGAATTTGTGTCATAGCTCTGACACTATTAGCCATGCAAACTAATATGTCATATTATTTGTATGGGCATCAGGTTCTCTAACAGTTAACAGTAAGGTAATAATAGGTGGCCTGTTTATTACTGAGGAAAGAAAGAGTTGTGAAACATTCTACAAATCAAAAGTACAGTATATCAAATATTTTTATTGCCACAAAAAGTCAAAGGTAGAAAGGCTCTTATGAGTCATATTATTCAATTATAGCTCATATTAATAAAGAAATAAACTCTGCTCTAGAAAATAGCAGTGATTTATTTCGGCAAATTAGTAGCAACTCACTGGCAAAGATGAAAATGGATTCCAATGCACAGCTTCTAGCACTTCTCAGTATCTTTCTACTTGAGAGTTGGCTGGATGTCATTGGAAAGCAGCTAAAGCCCATTTTAGTTGTTTTAAAAACTATGCAACACTTTTCAGTAGCAGTAAACACCACAGGATATTTCAAGATCTGAGCTACAATCATGTGGCAATGGTTTCACACTTACCCAATCATTTAAATTACCATTCATTTCACTTGGTATTACAAAGAGCCTAGGAATAGTAAACTCTACCATCTTTTAAAAATTAGTAAGGAGGCTGGTTTCCACAATTAAAAACTGAAAATGAAACAACCCAATTAAACAAGTGCTTCCAGTGAAACGGTTTACACTTTCCTGTCCTTTAGAGAACACTTCACATGAAGAATGCCTATGTTCTCACTTTAAAATTCAGTTTATCAAATTGAACAAACACACCAGCTGAACATCTACTATGTGCTAGAATCAAATGGATAAATTTTAAATGGAAAGAAAACTTCTTAGAAAAATATTTTCATTTATAAAACTGTTAAGGTAAAAATACTTTTATTAAATCTAGTACAATGGTCCAAGTATTTAATTTTAAAAACTCACAAAATTGTCTGTCATTCAAATGTCAATCATGTATCATTCTAGTTTTTTAAAATTTTCATCTTGTTTTAATACTTTCACTTGAATGTATATAACATCACATTCAGTAATTCAGAGAATATTGTGGCCAGAAAAACTAAAATATTTTAGAAAGTTTACATTTAAAGATCAAAACTCAGGTTTTGCTCAATAGCCGAATACACTTGGCCTTCAATAGTTTCTTACTAATGGTATCTATATTCTCTTTGGTTATGTAGGATGACAGGAAAAAAATGACATCTAGTAAAGTTACAACATTACTTTACAGTATGAAATATGCATTTGAACATAATTCATAATTTATAATGAAAAATCAACTTGCATTGTATTATGGCTTTCAAAATCAGGAGAACTGGCTTTAATTTTTTTTCCCATTATTTTTATAGGGTAATGGACAAAAGTGCATCAGAATTAAAAACACACCGAGTAATGGGTACAAACCACATTTGGATCACCACAGAACCCTTGAAAAATGACAAATCTAAAACTCTAAGGTTATTCACAAAGTACCCAACAGGTGGAATTCATTAATGACCTAATGATAGCCAAACAAAATCCATCCACAGCAGTGATTTTAAAAGCAGAAGTCCCAGTTAACAGCACTACTTGAGGGCACTTTTACCAAATACATAGCAAGGTCAGTGATGATGATGTGACATGCCACTCAGTTGTATTTACAGGGCAGGAGAACAGGAAGAGATCAGAGAAAATTTATCTGTCAGCCGCTCCTGGCTCCCCTTCTAATATTGTGACAGTAATCGGTATGAAAATAGCAAGCTCCCTCAATACTTTTTTCTGCTCCTGATATGGCTCTGTTTCAGATTGAAGCAGCACTCCTGTTTAAGAAAGCTAAGTCACTTATTCAAAGACCAATTTAAATTTGTTTCAATAAATGATAGTTTACCTTATATCTAAGTGTTTTAAAAACCTTCCAAAAAGTATATTAATTATTCTATTCTACAGGTCCAGTGTTTCATCATTAACAATTCTTATTCTTTATGCTCTGTGTTGAAAGTTAAGGTTAAATTATCGAAATCAATTTTTATTTAAAAGTTATTTCCCTTAGCTGTTTTATACAAATGAAGTGTTTCATTTTATTTTACTCAATTCCATTAGCTTTCTTTCAGCTTGGAGATCCATAATTTTAGATCTGTACCAATAATATACCCAGGTGATGCTGATAGTATAAAGATCCTACTTTGAGAACTGCTGATCTAGTTTCTGTTTGAATACTTTCAATAACTTTATGATGGAGCTAATTTTCATTTAGAAGTTCTCATACAGAACACTAAATTTGGAACCAGAAACTTCCTTTTTTACAATTAATTTTTCCATCTAGAATAAGTTCAGAACCCCTCTATTCCTTCTTACACATGGCAGCTACTCAAATATTTGAAGAACATTCCCTCTCTTTAAACTTGTCTTCTCCAAAATTGCAGGGTCTTTGACTGCATCCCACTCTCCACAGCTCTCAGGCCCTCCATCATTCTGGTTGCCTCCCTATGAACATTATAGTTCATATGCCCCTCTTAATATGTGGTCCTTAAAACTTAACACAGTAATATGTTTCAGTCTGAGTATCAGAGTGCATGTGGTTTATTACATCCCCTAATCAGTAATAGTTTTATAACCACATTAGTGTGTATCACAGCACTTCTGAACTGCTCGTCTATGGACTGATACTACTCCTTGACAAAGTTTCAGTAATACAGAGTAAATGTCAAAAGAACAGTGTAGTAATTTTTCCCATCAACTTAATCAAGTTTATAACTCTCTTATTACGAGTTTCTGTCCTTCCTAAATATTGGTGGGGGAGAAGGGGAGAAGAGAAAGAGCAGGCAAATCTTAAATAAAGTAATGGTAATGGAAGATGGTAGTAATTTTTCCCAAGTCTTTATGAGGCAACATAAAGTTTCACATTTCACAGTCTCTCTTGAATTGCTGGTCTACTGTCCTAGAATACTCAGGTTAAAAAATTCACCTGATCCACCCTCTGCTACCATCTAGGTACTGAAGTGCTTAGAATAATTTATATAATTTGCAACAATCAGAAACTCCACTTATCACTTTTGATTAATTTATGTCAGCAAAGCAAACCTCCCAATGGTCTCCAGCAGATAAAAGGGTGTTTTAACACTAGTCCCTAAGAGTTCCTAGTTTCTTTTATCCACTCCCCACTTACCTTTATAATCCTAAATTACACTCAAACCGAGCCAACTAGACTACACCAAATTAAGAAAGGGTTAGGATGGTAGAACCTTACAACCATTTGTTGAAATTTGTATTAATAGCCAATAACTTGAACTACAAGTGACCTACCCCATGTAAGACAGGGAAAGAGCAAACTATGATCTATGGACCAAATAAAGCTCATGACCTTCTTGTGTGAAACACAGCCACACACACTCATTTATTTACACATCTGTCTATGGCTGCTTCTGTGCTACAATGGCAAAGACAAATAGCTGGGACAGGCCTGCAAAACCCCAAATATTTACTTTCTGGCCCTTTACACAAAACATTTGCCAACCTCTCATCTAGGGTAATGAACTATTTACTACCAAAGAGAAACTTGAGATCTGCAACAATAACCAGTAACTAACTCAGGACACCTACCATCCACATTGGAATACAGAAACAGTGGAGTATCTGAATAGTCCTTCAACCTATTCCTGAAAAGTTGTTGCCAGCCCAAGATAGAGCATTTACTTACCTGTTCACTGACCTAATCTTTGACATACATTTGTCAAGGGCTTACTAGTGGAATAGTGAATGAAGAATCCATGAATATACTGCTCTGTGCAAACAATCTAAGATTCAAAAAGGTTACTACAAATAAATGTGTGTAATAAAGAAGAAACTGTACAGGACTACATAATAATTTCCTTTACATTTCAGACTTCAAATACAAAATATTTTTAAAGGCACTTCAAGTAGGAAAGCTTACATTCAACAATTTAGGTAATATTAACTGCATTAAATAATGCAAATTAATTTCCCTTTTGTGTCAAAAAGACTTTCATTTTCACATATGTAAAGTTGAAATAAAAAGATAATGCTTCTAAATTCAATCATCTAAAGTGACACCAGAATCTCTAAATAGTGAAGTCACAACATTAAAGTACTTTGAAATCGGAGTCCCTAAGAGATCACCTCCAAATTTTACAGATAAGAAAGTTTCAATACAACATGAAATATTTATGGTGAGAGAACTGATCAGTAGCAGAGACAGAACTAGAACCCAACACTCAACTATAAGTTTGAAACTCTTTCTACTTTATGACTGAGTATGAAAGATATGCTCATAGTCTAGGAAAAGGTAGAATGATGAAATATTCTAGAATTTTAAATGTACAGTGAACATATTCATTAGGGCTACAGCTCATTCAACCTAAGCAACACTCTCCTGTTTTTTATTAATCAATAAACTATAAAATTATAAAGGAAAAAAAGATTCATTTTTAAGCCACTCTTATTAGAATATCAAAAGAACAACCAATTATTTGCTTAACAAATTGTCAAAGATTAGGAAAGATAGTAATCAACAGTGGAGAAGGGACAGAATGCTGGGTACTCATAAATTGCTAATTTGATACAATCTTGCTGAAGGGTAATTGGCCACATTTTTAAAGAGACAAAACAGTTTCACCATCTAAACCAATTATCCCACTCCCATGATTTTTTTTCTGAAAGAACTAGTCTACTATAGAGATCAAATTTCACATACAAGGTGTCCACCCCACTATTACCTATAATTGTGAAACATTAGAAACAATCTAATATCCAAAGAACTGATTCAATTATGGTATATTCATACAATAAAATATTAGGCAGCCAGTTTTTAAAAATCACATTTTCAAAGACATGGGGAAATCCTTATGATAGGATATTGTTATAAAAAGTAGGGCATACAACTATACGGTCAGTATAATCTCAATATTGTTATTATGCACGCATACACTCATACACATAAGTAGCATAAACAAAGACTGAGAGGAAATACAAAAAATATTAACAGTGTTATCTCTGGTGAGACTGCAGATAATTTCTTTTTCTACTTTCAGTATTTTCTAAATTTTCTATAATAATCATGTTATTAGTTTTATACTCAGAAAACATTAAAAAATCACCAAATTTGAAATTTTTATAGTCTATATAATAAATAAGGAATAAATATAGTACTCAAAAGCATATCTAAATGATGAAAAACAAATCATTAATATGTAAGAGTATAATTTCCACCCATGTAGAGGTGGGTAATTTTGAATCCAAATGGTAACATTATTTTATCTCAATTCTTGAGTATAGAAAGCTGACATTTAATAAATAAGAAAAGCAAATCTTTAAATAAAATTGGTGCAAGGCATCTAAAAATTGTGCTATTCTGGCATAACACTGAAGATATAAACATTCTCCAATGTAACATAAATACCCAGTGTTAGATTAAAATTGGTAAAATCTAGTATATGCATGGTGGCCAATATTAAAGTAACTAACTGAATTACATATTTTCCCTCAAATGACTAGAACGGGTCTATGCTATAGGAAGAAATACAACACCATACCATTATTTTAGTTGGAAGAGCCGCACCAAAAATCATAACAAAAAATTGTAGAACAACTTTTGGTTACTGTTGTTATTATTAATGATTATTAATGATTTCTTGCTAAAAATTCAAGTAAGAGTCAAATTGCTTAAAGCACTAAAAAAGGCATAGCAGCAGTGTATGGTCTGCAATGATTTGAAAAACACAAACACTCTTCAATGTTTCCTCATTTGCAGACTACTGCCTATCAAACACAATCTTTGAAGTTAAAGACTACATGTATGTTCTTTCATCAATCTTGAATTTATATTCTACTACAATAGAGTAATGACACAAAGTGATGTCACACACAAAAAGGCAAACTATGTAATTTCAAAAGATAACTTTGAAAATATGGTTCTAATATCTGTGATTAATAAATCACATATGTAAAATATAAAATACATCCTAACATATTTTTACATAGGAGCTGAAGTTTACCACTTTTAACATAAAAATTCTGAGATGGATTTAATAAAAAAACAATTTTCATATATACCACAAAGCAATAAGTTTAAATCAGACTATTTTGATTTGTGTAGCCCTTTATTAGCAACTAAAATAGAAGGTATCTGTTGTACAACATGGGTAGTAATTGACTATAACTGGAGATTTATTATATTTTAATACAGATCATTTATAAATGCAATTTCTTTATTAAAAAGCTTCCACCCTTTTTTTGTTTGTGTACAATTTGCAAAACTATTCTGAAAGCGGAATATATGTGCACAAGTCTGCAAAGAGTGCAAATTTAGGATATGGTAAATGCTTTACAAGTTACTTTCAAAAAACTGTCTGCCACAACTGGGCCTTTACACTGCCATGGTGTTTGATCACATATTTTGATGCCAGCCTTCCTTCCACTGCCTAAACTATAAAGCATTTTTTAATGAGTTGAAATTAAGGAAGGACTACACCTACTAGAAAAGAAGAAAGTTCTATTAGTTTGAGGTTTCAGAATCCCCCCAAACCAGGACCAGTATCTTGGTAAGGGTTAGGCTGGGACCCCAGACAGAGTATGAGTGTGTGCAGGCGGTATCCCTGAGGACTCAGAGCTTCAGTGGACCGTGAGTGCTCCAGCTGCATAACTCACTGAACTGTCTTGCCAGTTTCTACACTGACTTGACTGGGCATAATTCAAAAAAGAAAAGCTCATATTCATTCCATTCTTCTGGAGTTCTGTGATAGCCTAGAAAAAGAAAAATTTGATCATTACAAACATATAAAAAAGTGAGCACTCTTTCAAAGTGTTGGTGGCTTAACTTTGTTCACTTCACAACTGAAGCCTTGATCTTATCTTTAACTCTTCATTTCTTGAATTTGTCACCTTACATTAAATAGGAAAAAGAGAATTCCTTATTTCATTTTCTCAAAGAACTTCTTTTAATCTAGCTTCTTGATAAACACCAGTCATCTTCCACCCATTATTTAATAAATTACTTCATAATAATTTTTAAAATAACAACAAAAGAAACTATAGTATCTTTTCCTCTAATCTCTCAACCAAATTGTGGCCACTTCTATTTTGAAATGTTGGAGTCTTTTCTTTGTCTGACTTTCACTAAATTTGAAATGCATATAAATTGAGTTCTAGGTATAAGGAGCATACTGGAATTTTTACTTTACTTGGGAATTGGTTCATCATTTGCTTGTTAAAATTTTGTTTGATCCAATTCAGACTTGAGAAAACAAGCGTACCTTATTCTAGTTTAAATTTCAGAAATCAGTTTAATCCCTTAATAGGCTTTTCTTCCAGTCAATGAATATTGCTTAAGAAAAAATCCTTTCTAAAAATGTACAATTTGCTATCTTTCAAATCACATTAAACTAACACTGGACTTCATGTTCCTACCATAGACCATTCTCCATTATTTCTCTGCCTCTCCAAACAATGAGTCCATTACTTCTTCTTCCTGTTCACTTTCTTCTTTCTTAAAGAGTCTCCCATTTTCTTTCAAGAAATCCATACTGTTTTATTAGAGGAAAAAATACAATCTCTTTCAAAAACTCAAGCTAATCAAAATTCTGCCTCTTATCATTCTTCAAATGAAGTATTATTTTGTTATAAAGACAAAAACATGAAATCTGTCTTGCATTGTTAAATTCTGAGTATCTAAAATTCAAGAGCAAAATCTTCCATTTATTTATATAGAGTCTAGAACGCTAAATATTTAAAACCAAAATATTAGCAAGGTTACTTATTGGAAGTCTCTTGGAAGATTACTTCATCTATATTTGTACAGAACATACAGGAATCAGCCAAGTCAAGAGAGAAAGTAGGTTTCTATTCTAAATAACTTTCTGTATTTAAAAAAAAGCACTGGCCTGCTTTCCAGTGATAAATAACTTTATTCACGTAACAAAACAATGGACATCCATATTATCTTAAGGTACTAGAAAGAAACTTGACCATATGTAGCTAAAGCCAATGTTAATAAGGTATCACAAATAGCAACAAGATATTCTGAACCATAAAATAAAATGTTTTTATCAACACTTTCTAAGGATACTCACATTTAGTAACACCCCAATGGGATGTCTTCCACATATAGTATTATGGTACTTCTTCAAGTAATTGCTAAAAGATACAGGATCTAATTGTTCTATAATACTCATACCCTAAAACAAAGAAGAGAAAAAGAAAATGAAAGAAAGAGAAAAAAAGGATACAATTTATTATTTCCTAATTACATTTTTAAATTGTTAGAGCTAAACATAATTTTTCAATAAAATAGAAGAAAATATATTAAATAAGCCTTGTGAAATATCAAACTCATTCATCAAAGGTACTCTCATTATAGTCAACTCTCAATAATATATACACTTTATTAACAGAAAACTTTATCCCTAGTTTAGTTTTCTCTCACTTCCTAGTATGTTTCTACACCAACTTCACCATTATCACTTAGCTCACAATCTTCAAACATTTCATGATTTTGTAATCATAAGAAATCTAAAATTAGATTTGATAAATGGCTGTTTTTCCCCACATCCATTTCTCCTACCTACCATTGGCATAAATAATCAAGAACTGTTGTAATTTATGTCCATACCTTATACTTATACACCAACAGTGTGCAAAGCATTTTGAATTATCAGTAATTATCAGTATGTGATAAAGAGAGTACAAACTAAGAAAAAATTTAACATATTTTTAATCAATTTAAAGCTCATAGAAGATTGCTAAAACCTTAAGCAAAACAGGTCTTCTATGAACAAATTTTAAAAAGCTTCTTGTCTCTTTATATTCTAAACTAGAATGCTTTACTTCAGTCAGATTTTAGTTCAGAATGAAAATTTTTAGACTGCTACTAGCACAACCACTATGACTGGGACTCTTGTTTACACTAAATTCCATACTCTGCTAATGTATTTAAATAACATGTCCATAATACACTAATATAGAGCAACGTTAACTTATCAGAATCAGGCAAATAATGATTCTAACTCGTTTGTTCACTAATTACCTTACCTTGTTTTCTTATTCAGATAAACTAGACTTGTGTTCAATAAACTGGTTTACTATCCTTTGGAAAACATGTAAATGGTGGTTTAACTAGGGAATTAACATATATTTTGTGTGGTTTTTAAAATTATATTTCAACATGTTTTAACAAAACAAGCACATGCAAAAGTAACTAAAGTAATCAGATACACACTCATCTGAAAAATGGGAATAATCAGCAGGTGACATACAAATATTGCAGTGGCAGTATCAAAATTGTATTTTACAAAGAATCCCTTTTCATAATATTCAAAGTCCTCCACAAGTGTTATCACATTTCTCTACAAGTATATCTGAAAGATAGGCATACGTGTGTATAATCAACTTTCAACTGCTTGCACATCAATTATCCACTCTCCAGTTTAGCCATGAGTGCTCAGTGCTAAGTTGGTTTTCCCCTGCCAACAAGGTCAACAGTCTCTGCTAACATTTGATGAGAGTTCAGAGAAATACGAACTAACTTAAAAGTAAAATCTAAGATAAACAGTTACTAGCATAATTCTGTTGGAAAGAAAACCACACAGTGTATTTCTAAACCAAGTAGTAATGCAGAGATAGAGTTGCAAATCTCTTCCATAAATAGGGATAATCAAGATATAATTGCTTAAGGATTAAGAAACTGAGGCATAAAATAGGCTAAAAGCTTGCCTCTGAAGTTCTAATCCTAGTTTTTCTCACTGATTACTCTGCTTCATACAGTGTAACAAGAGATATACTAACAATTCCTTAAATACTCTCACATAGCTACAATTGGTATTCATATTGTAAAAGAACGTTTAATTCTCCTGGAAGAAGTCTAGGACAGCTTACCTTAAATAGGACTCCACTCATTAATAAATTATGTGACACTGAGGTTCCAATGTATGTCTTAAATTAAAATCTCAAAGCACATTTTGAACAAACATCACATATATTTATATACCAACATAGGAAATTCAAAGAGAAGAATACTAATAATCACATTTGTAGAAAACAAACAATTCAAAATAATTGGCCGAGAAATTTCATATAAACAGATATAAAATTATAAATGTAGAGAAGACACTATTAAATAAAATGCTTAAAATGAGCATATAATAAATTAGAACAGGGAAAATTAAAAATTGAGATGATAGAAGTTAAGGGATTAAATTTAAACTTTTAATACTCTAATGTATGTTATGTACCTACTAGGGCAAGAATAATTCCAATATACTCAATTCAGTTAACAGGTATGCCTTTTTATAAAGGAGGAATAGAAAAGGTTCTCAAAAGTGAACCTGACCAGTTGGAAAATTCATGAAGTATGCAAGCAACATCAATAAAGATTATAAAACTGTAAAACAGGACATTTAACTAGTACAAAACATTGGCAAATATGTTTTGGTATATATTTACATTTTTTATGCTAACAATTTGGAAATTACTATTACCAAAATTCCAAGAAGGTAAAAGACAAAGTACTTCTCAAATATATGTAATTAACTTTTCTATTCCTTAAAATACTAGAATATATGATCAGTGAATCTGAAGTTCAGGTGATACAAAGCTTACCTAGGGCCTAGTATATTGAGAGTTTGTTCACATGAAGTTTATTTAATATTAATCAGTGAAGTGGGTCACTACATAATCAGCTCAAGATATGAAACAGACATTATGAACACCAAAAAGCCCATCCACCATGATTAGGGAGGGTTTCTGATGAATTTAGCAGCTTCAGCAAGAAATCCTCAGTCTGAAACTAATTCCCTACCTTAGGGAGGGGCAAGGGTGGAGGGAATACAGTATTGTGCTGACTCTCCAAGTAATGGATGAAAGCTTGCAATGTCAAATCCTAAGTGGCAATCCTAAACTAAATAGGCATTTTTAACTGACAGAGCTGCAAATTTACGACTTTGATAAAATAAAAATCTTCTCTTTTAAAAAACTTTTATCTCTATAATAATAAAATATCTAACTTTAAATTCTATCACCCAGAAGTAATCTCCCTCTAAAATAACAAAAAAAAGAACTTTTAAAAATCATGTCTCTTATTTATGAACGTATAATTGTTTGTCATAGTATCAAATCATTAGGACTGTGATCTCATTTTTTTTAAGTATCATTGATATGCAATCTTATGTTGGTTTCAAATATACAACACAGTGGTTCAACAGTTACCCACATTACTAAATCCTCACTCCTTCTAGTGCGGTCATTATCTATCAACATAGTATGTTACCTCATTTTTTTTAAAGTAAGGATATATAATTGTGTTAGAGAGATGGGAACACATACAGGGAAATAAAGTGGGGCAAGGAAAATTTCTGGTTTCTTTAATAGGCATCAAGATGGAATTTTATAGTGAAAGAAATTTTATGGGAAAAAAAACACCCTAAAGTTAACAGTGCTAAGAAGCAATATACTACTAGTAATAAATAGCTAACTTGAAGATGATCTTATAAAACTGACTAAAGACTACTAAAGAAACTAATGACCTAAGTTTAAAAGAAAGAAGCATGTCATCTACAATTGCTCTCTTACAACACTAAACTATGTTTTCTACCTTTATCTTGCATCTACCTACCACTTCAGCATTTTATTAAAAATAATAATAATAATAATAATAAAGGGAGAAATGTGGGATCCACATATAAATCAAGTATAAAAATCAAAC